TGTAGGGGAACCCGGGGCATAACGGAACGGCGGGGCATAATGGGATATGATCTATAACTTTTTACAGAAGTGCTGTTATGTATTGAAATATTTTGCAATTATTGCTATTAGATGATCCTTATCGCATGCTGTTATCAGTTGTCATGTTATTTTTAACTGAAAAATGCTATAAATTTTTTAATGCGTTCGCTGCACTCTCCGTGACTCGCTTATAATTTCGTTGATAGATCAGCATGAGGTAACAATGATAAAATTCTATTTTTTATTACCATAAGTAATTTTACGCTATTAAACAATCTCTTCTAGTCACTTTAGTAAAGTATTTCTGCACAGATATTGATTATCAATGATATTTTGTATTTATTTAGTGTAAAGGTACATTGGGGGCATAACGGCACATTAGGCCGTGGGGCATAATGGTACAATAGGTGTGGGACGAGACTTGATGAGTAGCCAATATCTTGAGATTGATTTCTTCATTCTGTCAATACGAAGACGAAAAGGAATTTACTGATATTTAATTTAGATAATTACCTACGCGGAAAAAACCTGCTCTAATGTTAGACACGATAATTTAACATTTTTGTCGTCGCATCATTGTGAGCGACAAGTTTCAGTCTCACAATCAGTGTAGAGAGAGAATTTGATAATTATTTGTAAAATTGACGAAATGAAACATTTAGAAATGAGATGTATTGTAAGATAAAAGGAAGAAACTTGGCGTGCGTTGTTCAACGATTAGTTTGGTGATTATCAATAGTGTCAATCACGATAATAAACTTGATATAATATACCCTTGATGATCATTCATGCCGAACGCCGTATTATCAATTTCGACAAATTTCAATAAATTGTCAATAATGAATTTAAATCTCACTTACTCGTCACTGTAAACTGCACGACTGAGATCCGACCGTAGCCACGATGCAATAAGCTTTTGTTCTACTTATTTATAACTTTGAAAAATATGAAGACGCGAGAGCTTCTCATCGCTTTAAAAGACGGTTGTTGGAAGGGGAAAATAAGTAAGGTAAGAAATAATCAATGATTATGCGAATGAAGCTCGAATATTTATTTTTCATGTCGAGCTGCGCGGTCACTTACTGAGATTAAAATTCAATTTCGAAAGCAGAGTACCTATATAATCGGGCACAAGATTCAAATTATTCAAAGCAATGCGTACATCTACGTCATACGCACGGTCACTTTAAATATCCCGCCATTTTACAAGCGTTTTCTATAAAAATGTGCACATTACGTAAAGTATAGATGCGTTAACTCGACGACCGACATTCGCTATGACTTACGCTAATATGGCTCGTACGTATAAAGAAATGTAGTAAAGTCCAGAGTTTCTTCTCCAAAGTTTTTCACGCCTCTTATGCCAACGGCATAAGCAATAGTGTACTCTCAGTGTGTATAATATAATATTATACATACAAGTACGCACCGCGTGCACCCAGTCGTCGTCCGCGTAATCCGAGGACGTGCGCGTTCGATCGTTTCTACCTACACGCAGAGAAAAGATTAGCCAAAAAAGCTAAAATGTGTCTTTGAAATAGGGACAGCTAATGTTGCTGCTGCCAAACCTCAATTTATTAGCTCTTTGAATTTAGATACTGCAGCGAAAAATATTAGCTGTTAGAAACAAATAATATTTAGCTGTATATACAGAAGCGCAGAGACATACGTCGAACAGCATTACAGGACGAAAAGAACGATACCATGCCGTTGTATTGTACCACACGCGAAGTAATGGTACGCTGATACATATCGCGACGTCTCAAAAACAATTGCGAATCGCATGTCGGGATCGCGCGCGTAATATTTTTCAAAGTAGCTGCTACTTTCTTAGCTGCTCGTGCTACATAAGTGCGCTATTCTTTCCAACTAATAAAGTTGTATCTCGCAGTGATTGAATTTTATCTATAATCACCAACTTTTAGCAATGGCAACAAAACAGCCTTTTAACTACTTTCAAAGCAGCTACTGCAATTTAGCTGATATTACTAAGTCATTTCTTTGCGTGTAGGCTGCTGCTGCTGCTCGGATCTGCTCTTCCACTTCAACCAATATTCTTTGATGAGATCGGATCCCTTCTCGCCGATCATGATCGTAGGAGCATTGGTGTTTCCGCTCACCAGGTTAGGCATAATTGAGGCATCGATCACACGAAGCCCAGTCACACCGTAGACTCTGAGCTGCGGATCGACGACGGCCTCGGGATCCCAGTAGGGGCCCATCTTACATGTTCCTACTGGATGATAGATCGTGGCACTGTAGTACCTGATCATGCATTCCCAATGAGAATCGGTGTACAGCTGTATGTGTTCGCATCCTGGAAACTGCCGCGAGTTGAGCTCGCTCCCGAATTGCCTGAAGGCTTCAGTTCTGCTCAGAGCCACGCCGATCTTGACTCCCTCGACCAACGTGGCGATGTCCTCGGGTTCCTTGAAGTAATTCGGATAGATAAGAGGGTATTCGAACGGGTTTTTGCTGCGCAGCTTGATCACGCCGCGACTCTTTGGTCGCAGCAACATGGGAATCACGCTCCACGTGTCCTTGTCGTTGATCGGCTTGAAAACGGCGTCGTAGAACTGCTTCGTTAGCCCGTGCACCTTTCTTATCTGCGTCCCTCCGTCCGAATTGGTCGAGCCGGAAACAAAGTGTAGCTCGACGTCGGGGAAGTCGAGCGAAGCGTTCGCGTATTTGGTGTTGACGAAGGCGATTCCCTCGACGCCTCCGAGCACCGTTAGCGGCCCGTCACCCAGCGCAGCGTACTGCATCACCGCCTGGGCATTTTGCACCCGTTTCTCCATCATCGAAATCTCTTTGTTAACCATGAATGTCAAACCCCCAAGTCCAATGTGATCTTGCAAATTGTAACCGACCTGGAGACACGAGGTCGTTTATTTCATTCCAATAAGATGCAATGATAAATGCAATGATAAAGGCGGGCGTAAACCTACGACATACTAACCCTACTGTCTTGAATCGTGGGAATCCCGAGCTCTCGCAAATGTTCCTTCGGTCCGATCCCCGACAACATCAATAAGGCAGCGGAATTTATCGTGCCTCCGGACACTATTACCTCCCGCTTTGCACGTACACGAAAGACCTTGTCGTCTCTGACGAACTCTACCCCGTAAGTATGCTTCGTTTTCGGATGTATCAGCACCTTGGTGGCGTGCGCGTGCATCGCCACGTGCAGATTCTTCCTGAGTCTGGCGGGCCTCAGGAAAGCCTTTGCACTTGAGCAACGACTGCCTCGTCTGATAGTACCTTGGGCGATCATGAAGCCCGTTTGAAATTGGCCGTTGATGTCGCGATTTTCGTAGCCCATCTCCTGACCAGCCTGGACGAAGGCCGCCGCTAGTGGTGTATGCCACGGTGCCTCTTGCACCGTTAAATATCCCCCGCTGGAATGATACGGCGTGCGAACCAAGTAAGGGTTCCGATTGTCCTCTGATTTCTTAAAGTAATGCAAGACGTCGCGCGAGCCCCAGCCAGGGTTCCCTTGCTGCTCCCAGATATCGTAATCGCGACTATTACCTCTTAGATAAAGCATATAGTTGAGCACGCTGCTGCCGCCCAGCACCTTGCCCCGAGGCCAATTGCAACGGCTGTTCTCCATCGCTGTAAACGTTCGAAAAGAAAGAACGGAGAGAGAGAGAGAGAGAGAGAGAGAGAGAGAGAGAGAGAGAGAGAGAGAGAGAGAAACGACGAGAAAACGGAAGAAAAAGGGACATGTATATATGTACCTAGGCAGGCATCACCCTGCGGCTCAGTTTTGTATCGCCAGTCTAGTTGGCTCAGTTGAAGATACCCAGCGAATAAAGGTACGTCCGAGATCTCGGTTTCGTCACCGCCTGCTTCCAGCAATAATACGTTCCAATCCTCGATCTCGGATAGACGACTGGCAACTACGGCTCCTGAGGAGAGATATTTGTGTTGGTATATTATCGCAATTTTCTGCGTTTCTACGCAACGCTTACATACCTGCGCTACCACTACCTATCACGATAAAGTGATACGAGGGCAACAGCATCTCTGACGGTACGTTGATCGGCGGCGCTTCATTATCCAGCGCTTCGTAATGAAAATAGGCAAGTGTCGCAGCGAGAACCGGAAAGAGTAATGAAAGTCCACTCGCGGATGCTGAAGTCAAACCTTGTGCCAGAAAGCTTTCGATGCCCATTTCTTTTTATTTTCCCGCTGTGCTTTGTACTCAACAACTGAAATTTGTATAACACATGTGTGAATTCAAATTTATTTTCTTGTCGCACCACTGAACAAATGGACAATTTTCTTTCTAATTGCAGTAATTTCCAACATTATTTTCACAAGCTATGAAAGAGTAGATAGGTAGAAATCTATATAATGTTATTATTTTGTTGGCATAATAACATAATAGATGTGTTCGAAAGATGTTTTACCAAAAATTTCTCCAAGTTTTACGTAGCCATTTTACGACCGTTATATAATTGTTGTGAATAATTGTCTTCGTTCTTTCAATTCGACCGAAGAGACTCGAGTAATTTCCCCAGACAACATCTAATCAAACCCAACCAAACCACCACGTTAAAAATTGATAAAGGGGAAGCCATGCGGCTCTGTAATTTTTCCATCTTATTCTAAATTGGGCTCAAACTAGCAGAAAATCACACAAACAAAATATAAATTTCTTATATTTCTGACTAAAAACATAAATCTTTGAATATAAATCTTTTAAATCTATGACAGATTACTTATTAACAAATAATAAAGTATCGCTTGTGTTCTATTAAAAATAACGACGTGTAATTAAGGCCAACTTGCGACTAAATGTAAGATCTCTATTTTGTGAACTTTATTATATATTTACTTTTATTTAACCATTTTACTCAGCATGACTCGTCATATTTTAAAATCCCGACTAAATCTAAGAATTACGTTGGTCTATCAACATTATTTATTTATTATATTTATATTTATAATTAATTATTCATGTATTTAATTTATGTACACTCGTAGTATATTGTAATCTATATGCGCTGATGAAAGCACTGTGTGCCGAAACGCGTACGCAATCCTAGAGTACAAATGTAATCACAGACTCTTTATTAAAATAATTGTAATACCTTATTACAACAAAGCTTGTTGAACTTGGCCTTAATTACACGTCGTCAGATTACTTATTGTTTACGTATATTTGTATGTAATTTGTATGACAGGTTGACCATAGTTTACATTATGTAAACAAGGATAAACTATCATATTTTATGCCCAACCCTATTTTACCTAATTATTTCATGAGTTTTGTACCCCAACTGCTAAACAGTTTTATCAGAAATCACGTCTGGCAACTGTTATAATAACTCATGTGACTCTTATTGTAAACTACTACTACATGTATTGTCAACTAAAACCTTGATAAAATCAAAGAGAGAGAGAGAGAGAGAGAGAGAGAGAGAGAGAGAGAGAGAGAGAGAGAGAGAGAGAGAGAGAACAACTCATTGTCAGAAAGCAAATTATAAATAAGGATGAGAAAATTGCGGCAATGTCAAGTCATTGCTCAATGTGTCAACATGAAACGTGAGAAAGAACACGAGCTAAACGATTTCACAAACAAAAGCTGCACTGGTTGCCTACTTACTTCCCTGAAAGAACAAAAAGTCTCCAACATTCTTAGATGAATAGCAACGTGGTTTCAAAATTTTTAATCACGTCTCGTCATAATTTAGCGAAATATACTTATATACGTAAAAACTTTCTATGTAATATGTATATTTTTATATTTACATCGATATAATTTATCATTTCTTATCTATCCTTTCATCGAGAAGAAAAAGAATGCTTATTATATAGAATATCCAAAAATTCACGCGTATAAAATGTCTCTTTGTCGGACAAAGCAATCTTTTTCCTCTTAGAAGTTACAAAATTATGCCCGAGCAGTAATTTTTTATTCGGAGCAATTTAAGGTTAACGAGTAAATACTCGGACTTGTGCGTTAATCAGACACGCCATACGCCTCTAAAGAGTCTAAAGAGTTTAAAGATTTTATAAAAATTATTCCTCACTGATTTAAATGTTCGTTCTCCCGATTATATTAATAAGAAAAAGTTTTCCGACTTCTGGATATCACTGAACCAACGACAGAAAGCAAATTGAATAATCTCATCTGTTAAGAGATATTAGTTGTAAAAGTGTCTCTTATTGAGAAAGTAGCATTTCATATACAGGGTGTATCTAAACTGGCGATAAATATTTTAATGACAAGTACTTTGTAACATTTTGAGACGAAAATTCTAATACGAAAAAGTCGAGGCTATAATAGTTTTCAAATGGGAACAGTTTAAACATCTCGAATAGCAAAGCTAGAATTTCGCGCGCTCAGGGATGGCAAAATGGTCAGTGATAAAGGTGCTTTCTTGAACCACACGTCTTTGACATTAATGAAATTAGTGTAAAAATGTATGCAAGGGTTTTATTAAGAAACTATTTCTGTTCATTTGCAATGAATTTTAGAAATAGTTTAAAATGTGTTTTTCAATAGTTCAAATCGATATTGATTTGTGTCAACTGTCATCAGCATATCTATTTGGTTAAATTGCGACAAATTTCATCGCGGAGATTTACCAATTTAACCAAATAGATATGCTGATGACAG